TTTTCTGTACATGTTTTTTTAAGATGTTATTCTTATACAGAAAAAATATAGTTTTAATTTCCTGTTACTTGCCCAAATAATCATTTTTTTTTACTCTGTGAAGAAAAGATCAGAAAGAAATAAAAAGGTGATGCAGGAAGCAAGTTATTTCAGCTGAGAAAAAAATATTCATTTTTGCACTTACCATTTTTTATTTCTAAAAACTGAATAGAGTAGAGTCGAGTCGAGTCGAGTCGAGTAGAATTCTTTATTGGCAAAGTGTGATTGGACACAAGGAATTTGTCTTGGTGCATATACTCTCAGTGTACATAAAAGAAAAGATACATTTGTCAAGAATCATAAGGTACAACACTTAATGATAGTTATAGGGAACAAATAAGCAATCAAATCATATTAGGAAACAATCAGTATAAATCGTAAGGATACCAACCAGGTTGATACTAACAAGCAACAAGGTTACAGTCATACAGTCATAAGTGGGAAGAGATGGGTGATAGGAAGGATGAGAAGATTAATAGTAGTGCAGACTTAATAACTAGTTTGACAGTGTTGAGGGAATTATTTATTTAGCAGAGTGAGGGTGTTCAGGGAAAAACTGTTCTTGTGTCTAGTTGTTCTGCAGTGCTCTATAGCGTCGTTTTGAGGGTAGGAGTTGAAACAGTTTATGTCCAGGATACAAGGGATCTGAAAATATTTTCACAGCCCTCTTTTTGACTCGTGCAGTATACAGGTCCTCAATGGAATGCAGATTGGTAGTAATTGTTTTTTCTGCACTTTTAATTATCCTCTGAAGTCTGTGTCTGTCTTGTTGGGTTGCAGAACCAAACCAGACAGTTATAGAGGTGCAGATGACAGACTCAATAATTCTTCTGTAGAACTGTATCAGCAGCTCCTTGGGCAGTTTGAGTTTTCTGAGTTGGCGCAGAAAGAACATTCTTTGTTGTGCTTTTTTTATGATGTTTTTGAAGTTGGGTATCCATTTTAGGTCTTCAGATATGGTAGAACCTAGAAATTTGAAGGTCTCTACTGTTAATACTGTGTTGTCTAGTATTGTAAGAGGTGGTAGTATGGGACGGTTTCTCCTAAACTCCACCATCATTTCTACGGTTTTGAGTGTGTTCAGTTCCAGATTATTCTGGTCTCACCATGAGGCTAGTTGTTCAACCTCCTGTCTGTATGCAGATTCATCATTGTCTCGAATGAGACTAATCACTGTTGTATCATCTGTGAATTTCAGTAATTTAACAGATGGATCGTTTGAGATGCAGTCATCGGTATATAGAGAGAAGAGAAGTGGAGAGAGCACAAAGCCTTGTGGGGCCCTGTATTAATTGTACAGGTATCTGATGTGATTCTGCTTAGCTTCACCTGCTGCTTTCTATCTGTTAGGAAGCTTATGATCCATTTACAAGTGTGTTCAGGTACCACTAGCTGGTTTATCTTAGTTAGAAGAATGTCTGGAATGATGGTGTTGAATGCTGAACTAAAGTCTACAAAGAGGACCCTTGCATAGGACTTTGGAAATTCAAGATGTTATAGGATGTAGTGCAGAGCCATATTAACAGCATCATAAACATTCATGCTAAGAATCACTCTTTGGTTAATTGCTTTATATACATATGCATTTGTGCTTTCTTCAGTATTATGGGAATTATGGGGTTGGAAAAGCTATCCATCTCTGCATGAGAAAACTCTACTAGTTTAACTGAAGCATGTAGATTTAGTATTATTTAGTTACATTTGAACAGATACTCAGAATGAAACCAAAAATGTTGAAACTTATTTCAAACAAATCAGGATTTGAATTCCTAAAGCTTGGGTGCATGGATAAATCAGTTTCATTGATTAAAGGATGATTCATTGCAGCTGACAGATTACCAAAACATATGATACACTGGTTGAAGGCCATCTAATAATTGGATAACAAACTTAGAAAAGATGTTAAACAACTTGGTTAATGCACTGCTATTTTCTCTTCTGTCTGATGTGACTCTAAAGTTTAAGGTTATCTATAGCACACATAAAGGGACGTAATGGCTCAATGGCTAACACGCTGAGCTTGTTGATCAAAAGGTTGGCAGTTCAGCGGTTCCCTAGTGCCATGTAACGGGGTGAGCTTCCATTACTTGTCCCAGCTTCTGCCAATCTAGCAGTTCGAAAGCATGTAAAAAATGGAAGTAGAAAAATAGGGACCACTTTTGGTGGGAAGGTAACAGCGTTCCATGTGCCTTTGGCATTTAGTCATGTCGGCCACATGACCATGGAGGCATCTTCGGACAGCACTGGCTCTTCGGCTTTGAAATGGAGATGAGCACTGCCCCCTAGAGTCGGGAATGTCTAGCACATATATGCGAGGGGAACCTTTACCTTTATAGCACATATGGCAAGCAAATCTGAAATAGTCACCATTTCTGGTCAGCACAGAATACAAAACCAATTATTAACCCCATTTTACATTCTAATTACTAACTCATATCTGATAATTTGTTACTACAGTAGTATTGCACTTTGTTTAATTTAGGCACAATGCATTTTGCAAAGCTAGTGTTACAGAATGTAAGCTAGTGTTTTTGACATAGTCTATGTAATAAAACAATTGTGGTTTATTCAGCAAACCATGGTCTGACAAACCACAGATTAATGCAAGTACAAATCTAATTAGAATGAAACTTGAAGGTAATACAGCAAGGAGTTGCTGTATTAAGATAATACAGCAAGGAGTTGCTGTATTATCTTAAAATAAAGAATAACCTCCATATTTCTTTAAATGGTCTCACCAGCACAAACTGCTTTCTCTCCATGTGACAAATATTGATTTTAACAGTTTAGACTGTTGAATCATTTTTTTGTTAAAAAAATAACATTTAAAATAAATGTGACAATATAGGTTTTATTAAAAGAGAAGGCATCAATAGATAGAAACAGTGTAGCAATTGTTCAAAGGATCTATTCCTTATTTATGAGCAAATTAGCAGAATAGTTTTTGTTTTGTTTCCTGAAGGAAGGTCAGTATACTGCATCTACCTACTATTTGGTGGGTGCCAATATTATGTTGGCTTTTAAAATGGTTGCTGAATTTGAAATGCTTGGGGTAAAAGTTATGATTTCATTTCTGATATACCAGACAAGTCGTGCCAAAACTGACTTGAACTGCTTCTATTGTATGGGTGGAATTGAGGTTACTAACCTAGGCCATTTTTTCTGTCTTGCTAAAAAGTGTATGAACATTTTGATTGACTAGTGCCGTGATGGCAATAGTGGTAAATATCTATGTGTTTAACAGTTTACTGCATACTTTGCAGCAGTGATATATGGAATGCAAATGGTAAAGACATGAATTAAAGGATGAAATGAAAGATAAGAAACTAGGTTATGTGAAATGAGGACAAAGGGAAGGATGCAATATATTAGAATGAAGAAGATCTAATCTTGTGGAATGCAATGTAGTTGAATATTTCTATGGAAATAAAAGTGTTGGTATAATTATGAATGAAAAAGATAAAATGCATGTTAGAAAATATGAATTGGTATCATCATAGGTTGTGGAGGGACATTAATCTATACGGTACTGATAGTGCTGATTTTCAATAATTAATATGATCTGGGGAAACAATCTGGTAGTTGGCATGGAAGAATGGCTGAAAAAGAGACCTTTTTTAAAAAGTGTCATTAGGTCATTTGAAGCTCTAGGCATGAATGGGAATAATGAATACTGAGCATTTGAATAGAATGTTTATTTATTTGAATATCTGGTTTAAGCAAAGCTGTATTTCTTTTTTAAAAAGAAGTGGGGTGAATGAAGAAGCATGATGCTTTTAGTGAAGAATGCAAAGATTATGAAAGTTGGACAGAGTGCTTTTTGATAATATTAAGGGATGAAGGAGGATGAGAAATAGCAATAAACAACATAAAACTAACATCCACCAATTAATTAATTTCTTTTTCTAATGCAGAAGTTCATTTCATAAACAGCTTTGTATATGGGAAGATCTGTAGATGTTGGTTTTGTTTTCACATGTGAGATGTAGCTCAATAATTTCCAGGTTATTCTTAGTGTGTTGTGGTGTGTTGTGGTGTCCCTTTCCCTTGGTTCCTTTGGGAAGGGACATATAGATCAAGACATTAAATTATTGGGTTGAATTTTGCACAACAGTTGTATATAACCAATTCAATCAGTTTTTTATTTTTTTAAAAAAAATGTTATTTTCAAGCCTCCCAGTATCTATTATGTAGGATGAGTGGCTATATAAATTATATAAATAAATATAAGAATTTGTAAACCAAAGTAGCTAATCTATAAAACAATCACAAACATAAATACTACATTTAGTAACCTCCACTGACACCCAATCTAATGGGAACAAATTAAATATCAAATACAGAACAATATCTTTTTCATGGTCTTTCAAAAACTCATCAAAATGGGCACCAACCAAACTCTGGGGGTTGGAAAGGCCAGGAGCTATAGTGAAGAAAATTTCCTTTGTCCTCCTGAGTACCTCCATTCTAAAATTCTAAAATGGAGGTACCTTAATTATCCTTTCGCACAATAAAAACATGATAAAGTTCTGTTTGAAGTAGAAAATACTTAAGATCCTTAAGTATTTATCCTTAAGATCCTTAAGATCCTTAAGATCCAAAGCATAAAAAGCTCGAAAACCAGCACTTTGAATTGTTCTCAGAAATCCATCAGCAGCCCATGCAATGCTTGCTAATGTGTTGTTATAAGGCCACAATAGTTCTTAAATATGAGCAAATGGACTCTCACATTCTATATCAAATGCAGTTTCTTGGCAATCTTCAAAGCAGCCCTCTGTAAAGTACTTTGCAATGTTATAGATTTGAGATGTTAAGGGTATCTTTGCTATTATCAAAGACATTTGTTCCAGATAAGATATGCCAGCTGAAACTGGCAGTTTCTTGATCTAGTGTTCATATGCAAATCCACCAGATGCTTTCATTTTTCATCAACTAAAGCATTACGTATTTTTCCTCCACAGATCCAGTCCATGGTCCTCAGAATGTAGAGGTTGTAGACATCCGATCACGTCAGTTGACTTTGCAGTGGGAACCTTTTGGTTATGTTGTGACTCGTTGCCACAGCTATAACTTGACAGTTCATTACCAGTACATATTCAACCAGCAGAAATATGAAGCAGAGGAACTAATTCAGACATCATCACATTACACGTTGCGAGGATTACGACCCTTCATGACCATCCGATTGAGGTTGGCTCTTTCAAATCCAGAGGGCAAGATGGAGAGTGAAGAATTGGTGGTGCAAACAGAAGAGGACGGTAAGAAATAAAGTTCTTACTATTTAAATTGTTTGGGGGAGGAAAGGGAATTAAAAAAACGCTTAAAGTAAGATTTTATTGGTAGGTAAGAAATTCAACCAATATGTTTCACAGCTCATCCCAAAAATAGACTATAATTTAATATTGGGAAAATAAACCTCTGAAAATTGTTACAGGCTAAAATTATAGCTAATACTAAACATAATGATGCTTCCCATTTTGCTTTTTGGAGAATTAGTTCTGATTACATCTTAACAAAATCAATAACTATATGTGTTGGGAGATTTTGGTTGTCTTCTCTAAATATGTGTCAAAATGTGTCAGGTGAGTTTGCTTAAAGGGTGCTTAAGAATTAATTTATGTTCAAGGGCCTGTCAAAGTTGATGATTACTGCATTTTTAAAAAAGAAATTTCAGCTTAAGAGATAATGTGCTAAACAGGCATCTGAATGGCAGTAGTTATTCCTTACTGCTATTTACTGGTTATTTATTTAATAGGTCATTTTTCTGGGAGGGTAAGGGTTCAAGAGAAGGAAATGATTTAAAGATCTATATGTTGATTAAACATATTTATTTATATTTCATATTTCTAAACTGTTCATCTCCCTCAGAGAGGAGCTATCTCTTACTCATTGAAGTGAGTAACCTAGTTCAGGGGAACCCAACCCTGGGCTGTATATGTGAGCTGTGGGCGTGCATGTGAATGTCCAAAGCTCCATTTGTGCAAGTGGCAGACATGCGTGCCTGCTGCATGTGCAAATGGAGCTTTGTGTGAGAGTGCGCTTGCTCTCTGCTTGTGCAAAACCATCCCCTCTCTGCCCCGCCGCCACCAATCCACAAAACTGGAAAGGTTGGGGATCACTGACCTAGTTAATAAAACGCAAACAAAATCAAGTACTTCAGTTTTATTTTAACATGTCACTACTGAACATCCTTGCTTAATGACCACTCATTCAGTAACCATTCGAACTTACAATGGTGTTGAATTAATAGTAATTATGACCAATCCTCACACTTATTTCAATTTCAGTGTCCCTGTGGTTACATGATTGCCATTTGCAATCTTGTTTTCTGCTTTACTACAAGCAGTCAATGGAGAAACTGGCAGAAGGTTACAAATTAATGGTCATGTGATGCAGTCACATGACATTGTACTTTATGATTGTGTCACTTAGCAATGGAAATTTGGGTCTCAATTACTATTATTAAGGGAGGACTGTTATTTACAATTTACTTGTATTATTGTGGCACAGAAATTTGTACATGGTTTGGGAAAAATTGCACAGTATTTTGTCAGAAATTAGAGTGAACATTGATTATGATGTTAGGTTATAGAGAAAAAAATGAAATATTATAATTTACAAAGTTTTCATTTTATTTTTAGTTCCTGGAACTGTTCCCCTTGAATCTATTCAGGGAGGACCCTTTGAAGAGAAGATCTATGTTCAGTGGAAGCCACCAAATGAAACCAATGGAATAATTACCCTTTATGAGGTAAGATAGAATGGATGCCTCAAACTGTACTTCTTCTATCCCTTCTATCTTTATGATGGATTTTATAGTTACTTTTTGAGTAACTATACTTATTATGGCATGTTGTCACTTGGCTAAAAGGATTGGAGTGTTTGAATGAACAGTTCTGCATTGGTTTCACCTGTGAGGAATATTGCAGTGTAGGGATTTGAATTACTGGTGTCTTACAACTCCTTAACTCAAATACCCTGATGCTTGTACCAAATAAAATTCATGCTCTTTACTTTTGCTTGTAATTGATGGCATAGTTGTAGATATATAAAGAAATCCTAGTTATGAAATGAGAATGATTTATAGTGGTATGTCAATGCAAACATACCTACAGCAGAGCTAAGATAAAATTAGTGTCACAAATCTTAAGAGCAAACATTGTCTCAAACTGGTATGTCTTCCCAAATTTGAGATTTGAATGCAATTACTGCATACATAATGAAGTCCACTGCAAATTTGGTCTGTGCTGGATATAGTTTTCACTTTGCCTGAATTACCAGATGTGATTCAATCCCATTGTTCAGATATAGCAGGGTTTTTTTTTTTCATTGTAGTAGCAATTCTGGAGAATGGAGAATAGGCATTACATATCCTTTGTATGTTGGGATGCATTCTTTCAGGAAATCTAGAGTCCCAAGTTCTTGAAATGCTATGATTTAGCATTATGAGAATAAAATAGTATTTATCTGGATTTATGTCATGTCCCTTTGTATTTCTCTGTGGAATGTAGCCATGTGGAAATCAAAAACTTCCATATTAGTTTGATTGCTACAATTAATTGCAATTAGTGATTTTAATCAGGAAGCCAAAATGAAATCGAAAATCTCTTGCATGTTACTCAGGGTTTAATTCCAATATTCTGACAAGAAGAGATGAAATGTGAATAGCAAAATTCCACCTTATTTCCTACCTGCAGTTTTCTTTAAAGGTTCAGTTGATACACCACGTGAAAGACTTTTGAAAGTGTAATATGATCTTGTGTATTATGTCAAATTTTAGTCTCTCATATGACTACAGTAGTTCCATTGAAATGCCTCTGCTATAAAAGCAGATGGCAGAAGGTTGGGGGTTTGCAGCAAGGTTAATGTGCTGAGCCTTTCACATCTGGAAACATGATTTTCCAAAGTGGTTTGGGTCAAAGGAAGAAATTGAGTTGAATGCTTTCAGCTGAGTCTCGGTGGATCTTTGTGCATGTCACTGAAAAGCTTCCACTGTTTGCTGCAACTAGCAATCTGTGCAGCAGACATTCTCTAATGTGTTTTTTAGACTGCAGAGCAGAGTATTTTAGGTTACAAGATGAGGGATGCAGTATATCTAACTTGAAATTAAATTCAGACAGCATCATTGCCACTAGGATAACAGTCCTTAAATAGCAAGTTCCATCTCTACAAAAGATATTCAATTAAAATAAAACCAAAAATTCTATGAACTAAGTATTTTAATAGAATTAAAATATTTACAGTGGGAATTTGGATGATTTGGTGTTATAAAAATTTCCAGAAGAAATTACAATACAGGTAGTCCTACCTTTGGGTAGACAATTGCACCCAAAGTTTATATTGTTAAATGAGACATTTGTTAAGTGAATTTTGCTCCATTTTTTGACCTTTCTTGCCACCGTTGTTAAGTGAATCACTGCCGTTGTTAAGTTAGTGACACTAACTAACTAATTACTTAATTCACTTAAGTAAGTGAATCTGGCTTTTCCATTGACTTTGCTTGCCAGAAGGTCACATGACTCCAGGGCTGTGCAACTTTCATAAATATGAGTCAGTTACCAAGAGTCTGAATTTTGATCACATGACCATGGGGATATTGCAATGGTCGTAAGTGTGAAAAATGGTCATAAGTCACTTTTTTCAGTGCCATTATAACTTTGAATGGACACTAAATAAGATGAGGTTTACCTTTACAGGCTTTTTTACTTTTTGAAAAAAATCTTTCTATATTCTTGCCAAGAAAACTAATGATCATATTTATAAATTGAGCTGGGAAAAAATGAGACTTTACTTTTTTTTTCTTTAGATATTTATGTATGACAACAAAATAAACTCAGTTGTCTATAACAGCATTTACAAAATGGCTGACAGCCCTATGGAGAATGCCAAGGGAGTGCTTCTAGAGCTTGGAGTACTGGTGGAGGTGTTAGGTAGATGAAAAATATTCCTTTTTTTGTCAGCAAAAGAATTTATGTTGGATGTATTCTATTGGATGGCAAGCAGGGAAGGCTTAGATAAAGTGCTATGTTTTGCAGAGAATTCTGGGAATCGAACTGACACAGACATATTTCTAAAAAGATACTAGTTCTTGTCTACTTAAGGGAGATCTGATAGCAGTTTGCCAATACTTGAAGGGTTGTCACAGGGAAGTGAGGAACAATTTATTCTCCATAGCACTTGAGGGCAGGATAAGAAGCAATTGGTAGAAGCTTGTCAGAGAAGATCCAACTTGGAAATAAGGAGGAATTTCCTGATCTGAGAATGATTAATCAGTGGAACAGCTTGCCTCTCAGAGTTGTGTGGAGGTTTTCTGGAGGTTTTCAAGAAAAGATTGGACAACTGCTTGTCTGGGATGATATAAGGACTACTGCCTTGGGCAGGAGATTGGACAAGAAGACCTCCAAGATCCTTCCAGCCCTATGATTCTAAGTGGAAACACTTCTGATGAAATATTGATCTTCATTGTACATCTTTGTAATAGCAGACCACATGGTGTCTGATACTGCAGAATCTATGAAAGAACCTACAACTGTACACTTTGATTGTTTCTTAGGCATTAGACTCTAAAAAAGCAAGATTCCCAGCACATGAAGGAAGCCCTGCTATGCATTTATAAATGTTCTTTTCATGGTAAACTAGATTGAACTCACAATCCCAACTTCATTTCCTTGTTATGTATTTTATACTGTATGTTCTATGACAAAGGCTATGGAGAATTTAGGTTACCTATTTTTAATATATATGTGCAAAAATGCTAAATCCTCATCAGAGTTAGTTGTGGATACATTCTATATATGGAAACTGAAAGGAATTGCCTCAGGGTATAAAACAAAGTCAAGATGACAGCCATAATAATGCAATTGATACCCTTCCTCTTTTTGCAACAAAAGCACCCACACAAAAAATGAATCTTCAATCACACTGTTGTAGTTTCCCCTGACTTTTTTGACTAATTTTGCAAACATCCCTGATCCAAGTTTTCAATATCAGTATTGGAAGTAATAGGATCTATATTTGGTCTTTCCATAATGGAAGCATCTCGGCTTCTCCACCTGTGAAATGCCAGATTCCCCATATTGTTCCCCTTTTAAGAAAGATAACACATCCTAGAAAAACACAACATAGAAACCTCAGTAGAAGCTAAGGTAGAAAGCATACTGAATGAAAATTAATGTTTGACTCTTTTAGATCAATGTGTATAATCGCTTATTTCCTATCTTAATATAAATTATTGGTATTAGTTTTTAATTCTCTACATGGCTTAATATTTCAATCTCGTTGAAACACTTCTTCTCATAAGTTCCTAGCCATATCCTCGAACCAATATTGAAAGCACCTCTATTCTGACATGTGGGCCTCTCACTGGTGGCCCAATGGCTCAGGATTTACTCCCCAGTGACCTGTGCCTTTTCCTATTGCCCTTCAGGGACCTGGCAAACATGTTGTTATTCTCTGAGGTTTTTTAATGAATGATTTTTTTGCAATGGATTTTCAAAATCTAATATATTTCCGTTATCTTTGTTTGTTCTGTTTGCTTTGCTTGAGAGATTTTTAAATTGAAATTTGAGAATGTTATATGGCAGCCTATGAAAGCCTGTCTTGAAGGGCAGCATATATATTTTTTTAAAATTAAAAATAAATAATTCACATCCTCTCAAGGTTATATTCAGTCCTAGATAAAGTCTAATTATAATATCCATCCTTACAGTCATTAGTAAATTAAATGTTCATGACCAGTAAATCCAATTTACAAAAATTGAAGTACAAGTGTTTGTCTAGCCAGCTGACCTCTCAGAGAATCATACAGGTGAATATGGTGCTTTCTATAGTTCTGAGGGGGAATAAAATGGATGAATTGTTCACATAATTTAATATATATAACATAATTCATATATCACATAATTTTTAGAAGGGACATTAGAATATCTAAAATTATATTGACTACATGAATGTTTAAAAAGATTTTTGGAAATGATGTGGATGTCCTAAAGAGCCTTAATATTTTTCTCTGGGCTCTGTGATTGAAATTTATCTTATAGAGCAGATGTGGGCATTGTCAGGGTTCCAAGTAATAGACAAAAAAACCCTCAGCATTCCCAGCACCACTTTTAGAGTGTGGAGATCAATATTTATTTATGTGACTGAAAGTCCCCTCCCCAATTCCAAACAATCAGTCACATGGCCAAGTGAGCTAGCATGTCCTTCATGTGGGGCAGGGGGTAGGTATTTTCCATGCACACTGTGTTAGTACATCTAAAATTAACGCATAATCTCATTGACTCATCTTTCTTCTCTTTGGTATTTTGTTTTGAGTACAACCCCAACTATCTTTAATTTCCCCTCCCTATCCCTCAGCTCCGGTGTGGCAGCACTGAAGTTCCATGATGGCTTCAGCTAGGCCAGCTTCAGGGTTGACATTTTATGGCCCACAGGCCACATCTAATCCCTTTGACTGTCTCTGTCTGGCTGTGGCGGTGGCTGTCCATAGAAGTGCCAGTTTCTCATGTATCCCTTGAGAAAATTAATTGCCTACCCTTGTTATATATAATTCCTGAAAAGTAACAATACATCCAAAGCACAGCTTCATTTTTAAATTTTGATATTCCTCTCCCTCTCTCCTTCTCTCCCTCTCTCTCTCCCTCCCTCTCTCTCTTTCTCTCTCTTTCGTAATTCATTCAATTCAGAAAGAATAAAGATAAAATAAAGAATAATATAAAGATTTTGTTACCAATAACAAAAAAAACCAGCATA